TCGGACATTCACAGACCCAGGCGTCTGCTCCACGGTTGACCCACGGTTTCTCCACTTCTGCGCGGGTCTTTGATAAGCCAAAGGGCAAAGCTGCCCAAAAGTTCTTGGTTATTCCGCACCCGTCTGCAGGGGTGTTTTGGCAACCAGCGCTTGGGTCAGGGAAACTCTAAATGTCCCGTGTCTCCCTCTCCATGGAGGATGTGTCTGGGGTGAGCAGAGGTGGGAGGTAGCTGTGGGGATTCCTCTTGCCCTGGGAAGGAGTGCCGGAAGCACAGCAGGGAAATCCACTGTTATCCCCAAACTCTACTCGGGAGCTCATATCTGGGTTTCTCCTTCTCCCTGTTCTCCTGACAACTGGTGGGGAGCAGGCTTTGGGATGAGGAAGTCGTTCCCCCCCCAAAAAAAACTCTTTGTGATTTGGACTCACGATTTGGTCGATTCATAGGCCAATCTATGCCCCCTGGGCACACATTTTCCTCTCTTGCCCTGTATAATTGCACACTAAAAGTCAACGTACGACAAAATGTGGAAGGTGTGTTGGGTGTTAGGGGTTGGCCGGGAGCCACAGGAAACTCCAGAGTCCCGACCAAGCCCTTCCTTCCCCTTAGATCCAGCGGTCGGTGCTGAACCGCCAGGCCCGGGCGGTGCTGGTGATCGCTCACCGGATGCAGACGGTGGAGAACGCCCACAAGATCGTGGTGCTGGAAGGCGGAGAGGTTGTCGAGGAGGGGAGCCACCCCGAGCTGATGGGACGGAGGGGGACCTACTACCGGCTGGTGCAGAGGAGCGGCGCGGAGTGACTTCTGGAAGGTGTGAAGAACCTCGTCTTGAATGTGGAATACCAAATACGTGGGACTTTTTAGGTTGTTTGTTTTGTTGTGTTACAGTTTGGAGTGCAGTCTGGCCAACGAGACCTGCTCTCTGGCCCGTCTTATGGACTGGCACCGTGAGCAGCATGAACGTGACGGAGGCTAAGGAATACCGGTGGCCAGTTTGTGCAACTTAGGGGGGGAGTGTCTGGGAGGCTGAATTAGAAATGCCCTTTTTTGCCCTTGAGGAGAAACTAGAGGGAAAAGAGTTGCCTGATTTCTTTCTTTTCCCCCACCCCATCTTTATTTTATATAGGTAGTAATTACAGGACAATAATAATAAATTTTCTATTGAACACTGACTTTTACAGCTAGTTCCAGAAAAAGACAGAAGAAAGTAACACACAGTGTGTTCCCTTGTCAATATAAGAAAAAGATTTTAATGAAGTTACTGCAGGGAATAAACTAGGAATTAATCGTGTAATTCGACTTAAAAGGTTATTCTGTCTGTTAAGTGTGTAGACGTAGGCCTTGCATTTTCATCATCTGTGTAATAAATGGAAGGAAAGAAAACTACAGCAAATCAAAATGGTTTTTTGGTTTTATGTTCTCTTGCTTGATGGACATCTTGAATCGATACCTCTGACCAAGCAGTGTCCCAACACCGCCGCCTAACCCAGCCATTCTTTGTCTGGGAAACACCTGTTAACTAGTACCAGCCATGCACTAGGGCTGATTTGTTGGCCTGTAATACTGGAGATTTCTTCTGATCCATGTCTGATTTGTGGACATCACCACCAAAAATGTTTTAAAAAATCGCACTTCTCCATATCCCCTCCAGTGCAGTTTAGTGGATTCCTTGGTAATACGTGTCAATTTAAGAGGGCTTAGGAAACAGCTGTAAATTATTTTAAGAGATAGTCTCCTTAATGTTTATTGAAATAATTTGAATGTGGCTTTTGTGTGTGTCCATAACTTTGTCTATGTTTCATGATAGAGATTCTACAACCGAGATCATTGCCCATGCACCTTTTAAGCCTAATATACTGAGTAGCTTTCTAAATCCAGTAATATTTTATAGATCAGTAACATCGTTCCTTTTGAATTTGGATTGGAACTGGAAATGAGCTGTTCAAAGGGAGTTAATGGTCTTGTGGAATGCCGTTTGACATCTTGAACATCAAACGAAGACTCTGGAGGAGTGGAAACCAGAGACTGAGATAATTACCACCTCTTTCTCTAATTTGGCTACCAGGGATTTATGTTCCATTTGGGAAGAAATCACCTGGTGTGTAAAGATACACCATTTTCCACTGAGAGGATTATTTGTTCAAGTTTTATTTGTAACCTTGCATGCTGTCTGTAGTTTGGAACTGAACCGGAAAGGACTTTACTGGGCTGCGGTGATTGTCTGTCTCTCCAGCAATAACTAATTGTTTGATGGTTGTTGTAGGTTTTTATGTCTGTTCAGCTGTGATCTGGCCGTGAAAGCCTTTGAGAATACATTGAACGCCTCTACGGGGAGGAAACGGTCAGACAGACCCAGAGACTGGAAACACTCCAAAGCAAAAGAGCACACCTCCTGTGTTCCTTAACGTTTCTACTACGCTGCAGAGACACAAAAACCATACCAGCCTTCCTTAGGACAAAATGGACCTTCATTTCCCCTCAGGCTAGCGGCATCTATGACCGCCTGGAACATGCCCTCCTACGTGAAAGAATCCACACAACCTGCAAAAAACTGGACTCCACAGACAAAAAACTATTCCTACACATTAATATCAGCCAAAAAAATGAGAAGTCATGATTGGGACAAGAGTGATACCCTTTCCCTCCAGAACACGGCCAAACAGCCTGAAAAACCCTACAACAACCATCAGATCACGGCAGTGAAAGAAACTACAGTGGTGCCCCACATGACGACGATAATTTGTTCCCCTGAAATCGCTATACAGCGAAATCGTCATGTGAAAACAATTTCCCCATTGGAATGCATTGAAAACCGCTTAATGAGTTCCAGTGGGGAAAATACCTGATTGTCCTGCGAAGATCCTCCATAGGGTGGCCATTTTGCAATCGCTATCTTCCGAAGCATGGATCCGGAAAACAGCGGGGAGCCATTTTGCAAGCTGACGATCAGATGTAAAGATTGTCGTCTTGCGAATAAAAGGTCCACGAAGCACGGACCAAATCATCGTATAGCGAAAAAACCCATAGGAAACATCGTTTTGCAATAGCTATAGCGATCACAAAAAAGTCATCGTCAAGCGATTTCATCATTTAACGGAGTAATTGTTCCTTTCAGCTTTTGAATTCAAAGAGAGCTGCACCTGTCTGCTGAGTGTTTTGTCCCTCTTTTTTGTCTGATAGAGTTGTTTGCTGTTGATCTGTTCAGTTAGTTGCTATGTGCAGAGTGCAGCATACACAAGTCTGAAATTTCTAGCAAATGTAAATAAATCTTTTTTATTCTTTCTCCTACAATTTTCTCAGAATGAATTATTGAGACTTTAAGTGCCAGTTAATGAAAAATGGGTGAACTGTCTGGGGAATTCATAGCTATTTTCCTTTGTCTCTCTATTTCTACTGTGTAGCAAAGAGAATACAGTGGTGCCTCGCATAGCAATGTTAATCTATGCAGCAAAAATTGTTACTAAGCAATTTAGTTGCTATGCGATTTTAAAAAGCCCATAGAAACGCATTAAAAGCTGTTCAATGCGTTCCTATGGGCAAAAAACTGACTTTAAAGCGAAGATCCTGCATACAGCGGCCATTTTCGCTGCCTGATAAGTGAGGAATCTGTTCCAGAAAACAGCGGGCGGCCAATTTTTTTACTCGGAGGCCATTTTGGAACCGCCGATCAGCTGGTAAAAAATCATCGCTTTGCGATGATTGGTAAGCGAAACAGGGAACCGATCATCGCAAAGCAAAAAAAACCTATTTAAAACATCGCAATGCGATCGCTTTTGCGATCGCAAAATCTTCGTTGCTATGCGGTTTGTCGCTAAATGGAGCGACTGTTAAGCGAGGCACCACTGTATTAATTAAAAAATGCAGTGGTATTGTGCTTTGCATGTAAGGTAGAATAATGGATGTTAGATTCTAGGAATTAATGGTATAATTGAAGGTACTAATTTCTGAATCATTTTCTCCGTGCGGACAAAGTGTTTTTTTAAAATTGTGCAATATTTATTGTTCTTTTTGGTGTTAATGAGTATCTGTTCATCTGAGCTATTCAGCAGGTTTATTGTGACTCAACATCTTTCGGGATTCCTCCCCACCACAAAAGGCAAGTACATACCATTGTTGGGATGCATCATGATATTTAGTGATGTATGGAATCCTTAATTCTCCTTTTGTGGTTGATAGGTAAATCAGTGATACAGAGTTTCTTGATACCTGAATTCTTCATGAAGTGGGAATGGAAAGTGGTGATTCCACAAGAAAATTGCCGATGTTTTATATTCCCCATGAAAACCCAGTTACAGCCAGCTTAAAAAACTTCGTTAATGACCAAGCGTTCTGTCTTCTTAAAAACCAGTCAGGAAACTTCTCGCCCCCAAACTTGATAGCAACAAAGAGGAATGTCTTAAGAGCTGAAAGCAGGAGCACTTTTATCATGTCATTGGACAGGAAGTCACTAACTAAAGGGGTAGGAACTATGAAAAAGCAGTGAAGGGCAAAGAAGAAACTCCTCAGTAAAGGGATGGTTCCACTGTAATTGCCATGAAGAGGAGAAGAGGTAGCTGACACTCTGGCATTTCCTGATATGCCTTTTAAAATAAAAATCAATGTATTCTAGATGCCACTGGCTTTCACACGTTCTTACACTAGCACTCTTAACTTTTAAGCATCTACTAATTTTGCACAAAACTTAGTGAGCAAGAGTGGCTACTCTTTGGGAGAGGCTGGAATGTCTGGATCAGGCTTTGACAACACAAATCAACTTATAATAGGGGTTGGCGCAACATACTCTATTGTAATCAGATGATACAAAGGCTGATACGAATCCATCTGGCCCTTTTTGCTCCCAAAGTTGGTTTTTTAACTCTCCAATTGGGGCTTCTACTTTGTTGAAGCTGGGACTATTTGAATGGATTTTTTTCTCGTGATCAGCTGATTCTGTCTTTTAAAGATGGGATAAGTATGCATGTGGGTGGTGTTTTGGGCGCTTGGGGGCTTGATGCTTGAGAAAACAAAAATACCTGCCTTTGCAATCATCCTATTTTTTAAAAAACAATTACATTCATGAGATTAGTGCTAGATCACCTCATCATTAGTATTTGTATACTAGTTTAGATAATACTAGATAATTTACAGATGAAGAAAAAAGTTAAATACAGAACAGACCTAGATGAAATAAAAAAAATGTTTCTGTGGTATGTGTCTTTCTGCACATGTTAAAAAGTATTTGGGAATGCTGGCACCTTTTCTGGAACACTGTGCAACTCTTTCAAACCAAGAGGTTTGACAACAAACCATAAAAAGATCGGGAGAGGCAGGACCAGAGGAAGGAAGGAAATATGTAGGGGCTGAAATGTCCACTGCATCACATTGAGTGTGAAGCATTTCGCAGCACCTGTGTGTGATCACTGACTCCGGGTTCAACTACAATGCAGGCTGTGACTCAAACTGCAGCAAAGTGATCCAGCTGGTCAGTGTAGTTGCAGCCTGAGCAAAGGGGATGTACGTGAAGCCCCTTTCCCTTCTAATTAACATGGCTTTGGGTCCCAGAAACCAGCCGGGAAAAACTTAAAGAACAGTGGAGGTGGAATCCGCCCAAGTCCTTCTCCTCCTCCTGTCCTCTCTCCTCTTCGCCCGACAAGGGCCAGGTCGGTGCTTAGCGAGATGGGCTAAGAATGAGGCTTCTGAGGCTCAGAGAAGGAACAGCAACACAGCAGATGGGGAAACACCAGACTTTATTGAAATCCAATTATTCCAGCTGTTTAATGTACATGTACAAAAGAAATCTTACACCCACAGCCATAAAAGCCAAGTAAAATATGTTACTTATGTCACTAAGAAGGAGCTCCAATCTAGAAGAATCAGATCATGATTGCTTGAACATTTGAAATTCAGATCAGGGACAGTGATCATTGATGACTTTGATTTTATAGGGAATTTCAAAGTGTTCATTACCAACCAAGAGAACACAGGCACCCTGAATTCATTATTTCCCCCCAAATGTTAGTAATTTAAGTGCAAGCAGGTAAAGCCAGAAATGAGTTAATATATTAAAGATATGTATACTAATAATGTGAAAGTAGCATTTTTTCCCTTCAGAAATACAATTTTTTCTCATAATCTCTTAAGACAAAATAGACTAAATAATAGCTCTGCTTGTCAGTCACGCCCTGAAGTAAGAAAGCCCCACTGACTGCAAAGGTTGATTGGCTGGCTGATTGACCGACCGACTGACTGATGGATAAAGTGATCAATATGCTGCTCTTTCCCTAGACTGGGACTCATTACAGCTGCAGCCTCATCAATTTAAATAACATGAATCACCAGATATTTTGTTCATCCAATGCTGGGCGTAAAATTCTTCAGCTGAAAATGAGCCTCATTCATTATAGCTTTTCTCAAGTATTCTTTGCTCCAAACAGGACACTGGAACAAGATAACTGTGGAGTTTTCAGAAAGCACAACATCAAGCCAAGCTCTTCACAATCCAAAAATAGGCATTATAGCTAGTGAAAAAATGGAAGAAATTGTGAAAGGGCACTGCAGGGTTCAGAGCATGATGGATCCACTCTTCCTCATTTGGCTTCCTCTGCGAGAAGCACCGGCCCCGAATTGGGCTGAAAAGAGACGAGGATGCTGCTTCGCAGACAGGCAAGAGCAGACTCTTCCCCTTCTTTGTCACTGGATTTGGGGTAAGAGTCAGCAAAAACAGTGATCTGTTATGAAGAGAGATGGAGCATGCTGAGAAGCTACATTTTTGGCCAGGAGAGCAGATGCATCAATTACTGCACCCTGATATTCCTGGAGAATCATGCAGGAGCAACTAAATGACATATACTTTGATACCCAGATCAACTCAGATAGGACTGTCGGGATGATCTCGTTCTCACTGGCATTTAACCCCTTCAGGGATATATGTTAGCTGTGACAGACAACCACAGACTCAAAACTACCAAGGGGTGTTAGTGCTATAGCGCTCTGTTCAAGTGCCATAATTTTGACCTTGACATGGGGATACATACAATCCTTCATATCCTTCAGTGCAGAGAGCAGGCTTTGGGCCATCTCTAAACCAAGGATGCAGTAAAATGGTCTTTGCATATTTGAAGCGCAGGAGGCTCAACCACACAGCAACCTCAGTTTTTGTTGTAGTTGCGTCTGGAGTATGCTGGCAACCCAAACTATTTCATAGACCCCAGGCATGGCTTGGTCACCCAAAGCAGTCCTGCCTTTACTGCTTCCTTTCTTCCTCCTCCTCCCGGTGGACATGCCAGTCCTTCCCTGAGGTGGGAGGAGGTTGGGCGCACTCAACTGCTTTGGCAAGAGAACCCACTCTAACCCCATCAGAAGGAAAGGACCAGCAAGGACAGAATAAAGAGTCCAGCCCCTTCCTTCCACGTTTCCTTTCTCTGATCTGTCACTAACCCCCTCAAAACCTTCCCCTCCTGCAGCCGGGAAAGGCAAGTCCTGGCAACTGTCCGGAAAGAGGGCGGGTGGGGAAGCAGGACTCTCAACTGGGTTGATAGGCTGCAGCTGCAGGAATCTGCTTACTAGGGCTCCATCATCTCCCAGAGATCCAGTCCCTCCCTTGCAAAACTCTTCTTGTATTCCTGGAGTCAACCGTGTTTGGAAAAGGGAGAAGGGATCTGTCCTCAGGATGAATGGACTTGGCTTCCCCACCTGAAGGCCTTGGCCTCTCTCTCCCCCTCCTGATGATAAGCCCATTCTGCGCAACTCACCTCTTTCTGAGGAGGCTAAACAGCTGCTGGGTTGTTCCCTGTGTGGAGAGAAAAGGAGACCAAATCAGCATCTCCCTGAATTGTGCCTGACATTGCGACACATGCGTCTGGGGGGTCTTCAGGAGGTCAGACCTCAGAGCCTCAGTTGTAACAACATAAAGGCCTCCATCAGTCGTTTTTTAGAAGTGCCCTTGCCCTGAATGGGTATCTCAGAAATATTTCATCAAGACATGCTGTCTGATGATGCTCTTCCACTGATAAGTGGGGCTGGAGAATCAAAATGGGTGGGGAGGACCCCCCTCTCTCCTCTGGGAGATCTGAAGAAGCAAACAACATGGAGAGAGGAGGAGCTTCAAAAGGGTGCCTCTTTCTTTTCCCTGCAGAGTCTGTGAGATATGGTGGTTTTCCCTGTTATTTCTGGGTGTGATTCCATCACACTTACCTCCACCGGAGCTGCTGGAACCTCCGTCGTTTGCTGGAAAGGAAAAAAAGATCAGGAATTCAACATCCATGGATGGGTGGGAGGGGGGAAGCCCTCTTCTCAGTCACACAAGAGTCTTAACTCCTACATTAAACTACAAAATCATCCATGCAGGTGGATGATAATAATGGAAATCTAAATCTGGAAGGGACAGGGACAGGAGAGGCCAGTGTCTTCTGGGGAGAAACATAACCTGAAAATAAGCCCTAGTTAAGTGAAACCCCGCCCTCCACCATGGTGCAGCAATCAGAAGATGATAGGACTGTATTTGAATAAATATACAGTGGTGCCTCGCTTAACGAACGCACCGTGTAACGATGAATCCGCATAGTGATCCCGTTTTCGGGATCGCTAATGCGGAGGCATAGCGTCGGCCCCAATGGGCAAAACTCGCATAGCGATGATCGGTAAGCATTTCGCTTACCGATCTTTGCTTTGTGACGCCCGCAGATCAGCTGTTCTGTGGTTTCAAAATGGCCGCCAGACGCCAAAAATGGCCGTGCGCAGCGTTTTTGCGCCCTTCCCTCGCTTACCGAGGGCGTGAAAATGGCTGCCGGACCCTGGAAACTTTGCTAAACGGTGAGTTTTGTGCCCATTTGGAACGCATTAAATGATGGGCTTCCCCGTTCCGTTTAGCGAAGTTTTCACATAGCGAAGGTTAATCCGGAACGGATTAATCTCGCTATGCAGGGCACCACTGTAGATTGTTGTACATGAAAATAAACAAAATATCCCCTGAAAATAAGCCCTAAAGTGCTTTTGGAGCAAAACTTAATGGAAGACCCTGTCTTATTTTCGGGGAAACATGGTTACTACTTACTGAATCCCCAAAAGTGCACAGAGTGTCATGAAGTGGAAGGACAGGTGGTGGTTGTTTTGAGCCATCGAGTGAGCTCCCCCTCAGTCCCACCATCTGCACGAGGGACCTCCTCCCGATCACTGAACAGCCATGCTCCGCTCCGCTCTTGGGAACGATGGTTTGCCTTCCTCTAGTTTTCACCCTCCAGTTTGGAGCCTCCACACACCCCCCCAGGAAGGTTCCAGCAATGGCCTCTCCAGCCTTAACTGCAAGCGAGGTTTGTTTTTTTTTACGGCTACGACACCTTTAACAGGATATTTCCTACATGCCATTTTCCACATTTTATTTGTTCACTTTTATAACACCATCAGGAGACCTTGCACCGGAGAAGAAGACTGATGTGTGATGTGACCAAGGATGAGGGGAGTGGTAGTCAGCACCCTGGAAATGTACCATGCTGAAGAA